AGTTGATCTTTTTAATTGAATCTTGTTGAGGGGGATGGTGCTGGCAGGGCTACCCATGGCTGGAATGTCTAGCAGAAATACTAGCAGTCTATGGCCAGCTTAGAGTCAACCTCCGGGGTAACCAAAAAGCTACCCTTGGAGTGGAGCCACCCCCACGCTGCACATTAATATCTAGGCCAGGTTTGGCAACCTCGGCACTCCAGATGTTGTGAAAGTCCCATGAGGCATTGCAAGACTGTGACAGCCACGTGCATGAGTATAAGAACGTCACCGGCACGACATAGACTTAAATGTCAGTGAAAATCCATTTATTGATGTCAGTCAATACTCAAAGTATCGTCAAGCGCTTTCGGGGGCCGCGCGGGGTCCCCTTCATCAGGCTCAGAGTGAACACGCGTGACTCCCAGAGGCAGAGACATGATGGGATTCACCACGGCTGGAATGTCAAGGTTCCCTACTCTTGGTCTAAGGGGGAATGTGTGAAGGTCTTTAACTCACCTGACGGCCCACTTTCTCCCGCCCCCCCCCCAGCAGTTGGCATTCCCCTCTCTCCTCCGTCTCATGGAATGTCCTGCTGTGTTCTCGGGTATAAGGCAGGACATTGGATGCTTCATTAGACATGATGATATCAATCAGTGGGACCTCCGACCAGCGGAGGGGAGGGAGGGGGCTGCAGATGCTGGGACCAGGTCAGGGAAAGCCCTTTACAGAGCCCCCCTTAGACCAGGGGTAGGCAACCTCGGCACTACACAGACAAGTCCCACGGGGCATTGCAAGTGTTGGACAGACACAGGCATGAGGGATGATGGCATTTGAAGTCTCACCACAGCTGGAGCGCTGAGGTTGCCTTCCACTGCCCTAGACTTTACCGAGCAGCCAACCCTTGCTTACAATCTAAAGATTTGCAGGGGCAGACTATAGGGCAGGGACGGGCAAACCCCAGCCTGATAGGTGAAGTCTGAACTCCATTGTTCTACGGCAGCAAAGCTCCGAGGACACAGCTGGATGGAGATCCGACTTCCCGGATTTTCAGGACTTACACTAAAACCGTTCACATTTCCTCCAGGTTTATGTAACAGCCGAACGGGGACGAGACGAGCGCGGCGGCGGCTTCCTGTTCTGTCTGGGAGACTGAAAGAGGCAGAGCCGGGGGAAAAGCTGAAGTTACCAAATAAATCACCGGAGAGGCCTTTGTAATGATAATGAGGCCGTGACGGCGCAATTCATTCCGTCTGCAGATACCCAATAAAACTATCGCAGGAGGAAGTTGTTTTGTCTGATTTACACATCGGAGTGTTTTCTCCTCTTCATCAGGTTATAATGTGCTTCATATTTATAACCCGACGAGTTCCCATGCAAATCTCTATTCAGAGGATATATATATATAGAGCTATCTTAAAGGAGAACTACGAGGGGGAGGGGCTTTTCACTCACCTCATAGTTCTAAGCCGACCTGTGACAATGAGACTGTCACAGGTCGGCTCAGTAGATCGGGAAGTGAGCGAACACATACCGGCGTTCGCTCACCTCTCGATCCTGTCAGGGCTCTCTGCCGTGACAGGGGAGGGGCTGGATTCCCCCCTCCCCGCTCCGATCCTCCAGCGCTGACTGGCGGAACGGACGGGGGAGGGGGCGGGTACAGCTGGCTCTGCCTCTAGATAGGCAGAGCAAGCTGTCACTCACGCAGCTGGGCGGATCCCGTCATCTACGTCGGGATCCGCTCCAGGTGCGGCGTCTCAGTATACCGCGAGCTGTAGCTCCCTATATACTGAGCTTAGGGTGACGTGAGGACGCTAGTTTGTGTCCTCCCGTTACCCTAAGGAGAACTATGGGGAAAAACACTGACCTCATAGTTCTCCTTTACTATCTATATATTTTTGTATCTTATACTGTGTATATGTACATATACACCGAGTGGGCAGATTATTATGACCCCCCCCCCCATCAGTACTTCGTTGGGCCGCCTTTTGCCTTCAATCCTGCGGCGATTCTTCTCGGCATTGACTCCGCGAGATGGTGAAAGGCGATGCAAGGAATCTGACGCCGCGCCTGATGAATAGCGCCGTCCGGTTCTGTGAGATTTGATGGTTGTGGAACCGGCTGCCTGATTGGCTCTTCCAACTTCGTCCCACAAATGCTTCAATTGGATTGAGATCTGGTGATTGTGGGGGCCACATAAGCAAGGTAAAGTCTCCCTCATGTTCTTGTTCCTGCACAATGCGAGCGCCGTGGCATGGCGCATTGTCTTGTTGGAAGAAGCCGTCTCCATTGGGATACGCCATCAACATGATCGGATGAACTTGATCAGCAACGATACTTTGGTATGTTGTGCTATTCAGACGAATTAAATGGCCCAAATCATGCCGGGAAAACACGCCCTGAACCATAGCACCGCCCCCACCAGCTGGAAGGGTTGTACTCATGCATGTGGGGCGCATGCTTCAGTGTCAGATACAGTCCGTAGTAGAAGTCACCAGCACTCGATGATGCGCGCAGGCAGTAAAGCACAATCAGTTGTTTACTTCTTGCACATATCATCGAGTGCTGGTGACTTCTACTACGGACTGTTCCTGATAATTGGGACACAAAGCACCGGCACTCGTACTTCATACCGCAGAATCGGTACGGGTGGATCCCTAGTAATTACCCACTTCAGGATCACAGGACGTACATGTATGTTCTAATATTGAAGGGGTTATACCAAAATCATGGCTGCTGCTGCTGCTGCAGGTGGATGAGGGTCTGGGTGGTTGTAGAGCCACCCGATCACTTGTACCGGCCTGTAATAAACAAATCATCCCGTGCTTGATCATCTTCACTGGAGGGCAAGGGAGACATTAGGAGTCTAATGGTTCTTTTTATGGAGACATCACGGGTCTAACGGTGCAGTTTATTTGCCCCCCAGGCTCTCCTGATACCACCCCCCCACACACACATCTAGAAGTCTCACCTGTGGAATAATCTTTTTCTTCTTGTTGTTTGCAGCATTCGGGCCGGAGAACAGCTTCTCGAGGGCGGCGAGGGCTGCGCTGGCTTTCGCTACCTTTTTGTTTGGGCCGGCACCCCGGAACTTCTGCGCGTCCACCTCAACCTGAAAAACAAAAACAAAACGATTTGGAAATGGAAAGAAAGTTCTAGATTTCCTCTGTGACTGCCGATTTATTATATGGAAAGTTACTAAACCGGGGATAGCGAAATCATAGAAATATTTCTATTATCATCAAGCCCGAGGTCTCCACGTCTGTCCTGAGGGAATATATAAAGCAGAACTGAGGGGATTTTGTTCTTACCCCTTGTAGTGGGGCCACCCGTGCCCCGAAGGGTTAAAGGAGAACTATGAGGTGACAGAGAATCCCTCCTCCTCATAGTTCGAGCCGGCCTGTGACAATGAGACTGTCACACGTCGGCTCAGTAGATCGGGAAATGAGGGAACACATACCGTCACTCACGGCTCCCTGCAGGGATTCCCCGCACTCCCTTGTCCGATCCTCCAGTGCTGACTGGCGGAACGGATGGGGCGTGTACAGCTGGCTCTGCCTCTAGATAGGCAGAGCCAGCTGTCAATCACGCAGCTGGGCGGATCCAGACATAATTGTCGGGATCCGTTCCCGGCTGTGGCGTCTCAGTATACCGCGAGCTGTAGCTCTCTATATACTGAGCTTAGGGTGACGGGAGGACGCTAGTTTGTGTCCTCCCGTGACCCTGGGGAGAACTATGGGGAAAAGCACTGACCCCACAGTGCTCCTTTAAGGGCTTGTCTTTGTCTAAAAATAACAAAATTATACTCACCCGATCCTCGGAGGCAGCCGACTGTCTGAACGCTCCCTCCTACCTGTCTCCTCCTCCGCTGCAGCAATGATCCCCTCAGTGTGTCCACTACGTACAGAACATGACTCGGGGACCTTAGACCTCTGCAGCGGAGGGGGAGAGAGGCTTCAGGGACTGGTCTATGAGCAAGCTGGCTCCGAGGATCACGTGCAAGGTAATACAGACAGTTGTCCTATAGCAGGGGCGGGCAAACTCCGAGCTCACCAGCTGTGGTCAAACTATAAATCCCATGATGTATCTGGGAGTCAAGTGTGTCTGAGATGCCTCATGGGATTTGTAGTTCAACAGTTGGAGGGCCGGGGATTGCCCACCTCTGCCCCTGCAAATCTTTAAATTGTAAGCCCGCAGGGGCAGGGCCCTCCTTACCATCTTGTCTTGAACTTTATTGTAATGTCTTCCTTATATTGTAAAGCGCTGCGCAAACTGTTGGCGCTCTATAAATCCTGTATAATAATAATAATAATGAAAATATAGCTGCCAGGACCTGCTGTCTTTTTCACAGCCGAGGACCCAGCCTATGTAGCAGAGCCGGTATTGGCAATTATGTTTGCACTGGTGTCAGTGCTTATTAAAGGAGAACTATGGGGTTCAGGCTTTTCCCCATAGTTCTCCCTTAGGGTAACGGGAGGACACAAACTAGCGTCCTCCCGTCACCCTAGGCTCAGTATACCGCGAGCTACAGCTAGTAAGCACACACTGATACATTGCATTGGCTGCAGCAATCGGGAGCAAACCTGAAACCATAAGGTCCCTTTTACATGGGCCTGCTTGTCAGTTGCCCAATGATAGTCAATGGGCAGCTGGCTCTACACAGACGGGAGTTCATTTACACTTTATAGATATACATATGGGGAAGGAGGGTCCCAATCCCAAAGTATCAGCAGTATATATCCTAGCGGTGGGTCTCCTATATTACATCAAATTAGCACATTCCCCCACTGAAGGAGATCCCACCACAAAGTCGATCATGCAACTATATTGCTATATATATATATATATATATATAAAAGCATATCATTTATTAGTAGGGCTGTGCAAATTAACGATTAATTTCTCGATTAATCGTTAATCTTTTTCACCGATATAAATTTTTTTGATCGATTACATTTTTTTTAAAACTTTCTGCACGAGAGCCAGCCAAGGCATTGGCCTATACACATACAGCACATCAATGACCTATACACATACAGCACAGCAATGACCTATACACATACAGCACAGCAATGACCTATACACATACAGCACAGCAATGACCTATACACATACAGCACAGCAATGACCTATACACATACAGCACAGCAATGACCTATACACATACAGCACAGCAATTAAGTAATAAAATGAACTAGGATCACACTAACCCAGCATGTTATTATTCTGAGTTGCCCCACTCAATATGGCCGCCGCTTGAGTGGGGCAACTCAGAATAATAACGTGCTGGATTAGTGTGATCCGAGTTCATTGTATTACTTCATTGCTGTGCTGTATGTGTATAGGCCAAAGTAGTTGGATCTGTATGTGCGTTATAATTTAATCAAAATTAATCGATTTAAAAAAATTTCGATTAATCCAACATGAAAATTGTAATCATTACCAGCCCTATTTATTAGACAAATACAAAAACGTAATCCTAAAACATATAACACACGTGTGTATTGCACATAGTTCACACTCGGCTAATAGAGGTGATTATAATATGGATCCCTCCAATATCCGAATCCGTTATGGAAGTGACTTCATGATAAGAAAAAACGGTTCACGGATTCTTGATATCTGTATAAAAACTAAGAGGACTCGCAGTGATAGCCAATCTATGTGGGCACATATATGAGCCAATGAAATCACGGCAATATTGGGGACAATTGCCAAGTAGAATCTTAGTTCTTTCTCCTCTACAGCCATTCAGCATAGTCGAGGGATTGCCAACAGCATTGCTTAAAATGAACCCGTGCTTCGTCCATGCTGGTCCCACCAAAAGACAATACCTTCCCTCTCCGCTCATTGAGAGCTAAAGAAATACCCAGTACTCTTGGATATGGGGGGGGGGGGGGGGAGGGGGG